TACTGTGATGCAATCCAGGTATTTTCATTAATTTCTTTGGTAGCCCCAATAGCAATAAATTAAAAAGTAATGGTGATATTACGGAGCTTTGCGGCGTGCCTACCGAGCCCATCTCAAAATCTTGTGATTCTTGGTCGGCGATAACGACACTTGCGTGCCTGCATGCAATAAAATCACGTATGTAATTGTACAGTTTTCGACTTAGTTCTAATGCGTCGATTTGTTTTAGTATCGATTCGTGTTTTACGGTATCAAAGGCCTTTTAATGTCGAGGCTAAGAATCGTCTTAGTAGAGCTCGTAGTGTCGCCGACAATGTGATGCTTTAGTTGAAGTAATGCATCCTGTGCGGAAAGATTGCGGGGGAATCCCAGCATGGTGTGCGAGAATGCGTCACAGTCTTTGAGAAAGTCGGTTACTTAATTAAAACTGCGTGCTCCATGACTTTTCTTACACAGTACGTAAGCGAAATCGGCCTTTGAATATCGAGCGCAATCTGCTTGCCTGGTTTAGGTATCATGACAACTCGAACTTTTTTCCACGCTTTGAGAAGGGTCTCTCCAGCACTCATTGACGTAGGTCACCAATCGGGAGATTGACTCATCGTCTAAGTTTCGGCGAGCCTTGTTGGTAACCCTATCTGGTTCTGGCGCCGACCGGGAGCTAAGTTTGAAAAAGACTGCCCGAATTTCTGCCTCCCTAAAGTCTGTGACTAATTTTTCATTAGCGATTCTATCATAATCAAGGTGTTGGACGCTGTCTCCCATCTTAAAGTAACGATCTCGTATTGCGACGAGGATATTCGCACCTTCATAATGTTCCACAGGTCTCCACGTTTTATAGCCTTGGGCGGCCCGAGACTCTTCCGGATCCAACAGATACCGAAAGAGACGCCAAACACCTGCCCCACGCATCTTGCTTTTCTAAGCCATTACACATGTCTTGCCACTGTGCCATACATACTTTGAACGCGTGTTCCTCGATCTGTCTGTCTAACTGTGCCATGCGTTTTCGCAATGCCCAGCTGTGTCTGGCGTTTTGACCTTTTAAGTAGGGCTTGCTTTACTTCCTACATATATAGCAGCCGGCTGTCGATTACTTCAAGCTTCGCCTTGGGTGGAATGTCAGACGTTGCGGCATCTACGTCCCTATTGAGTGTCGCAGTTCATTCGTCTATATTTGTGATCGGCTCGTCGCCGCGCCCTCCTTCTCGTTTCTTCCGGAACGCCTCCCACTTTACTAGTTTGAGTTTACGGCCAATGCCTTTTGAGCATGCTCCACGAACACTCAGGGCCCGTGTCAATTATAATCTCTATCAGCGAGTGGTCACTCCCCAAGTCCTCTTGCATGTTTTGCCAAGACACAGTGGCTACACTCGATACGAACGCAAGGTCTGGCAGCGTGTCTGCGCTCACGTTATTTCCCCTGCATGTTGGATCGGCGGGGTTCGCGACGAGCTTAAGCTGTAGGTCTTGCAAGTCTTCCCAAAGGTGTTTGCCTTTAAGCGTTTCACGCATGTATCCACAGGCCCCGTTCGGCGCATTAAAATCACCCGCGACTAGCAAAGGTTTCCCGTTGGCGGCCGTGCTAGCCCTCTGGAGCAGCTTCCCAAATCGGTGGTGCAACGTGGGTTTACTGTGTACTTTAAGAACAAACAGTCCTCACCCACGCCTAGGAATTAATTCTACAAAAACGTGTGGTATATTTGCACACTCAAGTTAACGCTGTGCCACTGTGACGTTATGTCTAACAAGCACGGCGACGACCGGCTCCAGAGGCGGTGACGGTAGCGACCGCGGGCGCACTGACTGTGAGCGAACGCCCCGCTGGCCGCGCCCCGCGGCAACTCCCGGCGACCAGCTATTTGCCGAGCAGGATATCACCCATTGTTTTCTCCGTCTGTTGTCAGTCACTGCCGCGTTTATGGCTTTGTAACCAGCTAGTTTTGCCGGATAGTTTGTCTCCTGTAAAATAATAACATCTGGTTTCGTTGCAAAGCCGCGAATATATTGCTCGAGATTGCCCCACTTCTTCCTATAACTCCGGCAGTGCCACTGCCAGATCTTATACTGCTTTTGGCTAGTGTTAGTGCGATTATGTGCGTGTCTAGCCATGGTGGTCACATTTAATTCAACCCATCGCCGTCAAGGCAACTTGCGTTCGGCTGAATTTGCGTGTCTGCGTCGGTCAGCGTGTTTTGCTGTTGTTGACTCGGTTGCTGTCTAGGGTACGGCTTGTTCATCATTCTAATCAGTCTGCCCCTAGCTAGCGGCAGTCGGGCTTCTATGTTTTTTATGCACGTCCCGTGTGCGGTAAAGATTTGAGTCATTTGCTCAGACAGCTTAGTTATCGCACTGTTCAACATGTCATTCATCTGCGCCACATGGTTTGCAAAACGCTCATCGAGACTGTTTTTGTTAATATCGATGTGTTTTTGTGGTTGCTCATGACGGTCACATTGCCATGGGCGTTCGGGTCTCGCAGGATGTAGTGCGATTCTTTTCGCAGTAAACGGGCGGTTGTCTTGGCAATCTGCCAAACTGCTCTTGTCGTCCCTTTCTATCTCCAGTGCCTCAGTTCGCATAGAAGTCGAGGACCGAAGCGACGTAGGTTGCAGCAGCATCATCTGTTGCTGGGAAAGTTGGAATTGTGGAGCCTTGCCTTTCAACTTGAAATTTTTCGCTCTGAAGATAGCGTTTTCGCGTTTCAGCTCAGAAATGATTGATTGTAACCGTCCTAGGCGTTGTTCTAGCGCTCACTCTATTGCTTGCTCAAGCTTGCCCCCATCACCGCCACCGACGGCGGGACCAAGAGAACGATTCGCGGAAGCGACGCCACCGGCGGAAAAAGTGGGGACATCTGCCCATCTCACCTGTTGCCCAGTGGCCATATGCCCTTGTTGCGGCTGCCGCTGTGTCTGGTGCTGCTGACTTGGTGTGCTTTGGTTGAAGGCTGCGGTGCCTGGATTGGCACCACCACACGTCTTCGACTGGCTTCTCTACGTCAGTGTGAGGCTGCAAGAGCAGGACCAGCGTATCCCCCTGCTGCCTCTCGCGTCTCGGCTAGTCGAACGTCTTGTTGGGCCGGCGTTGCATGAGTTATTGTTCAACGATGGATAATGACCGTAGTGACCTGCGTTGCTTCCTGTGCCGATGCTGCTGTTGTATCTGCTGCTGTACCCCTCGGCCGCTTCTTCTTCTTCTCGTCGTTTTTGCTCGAGTTAGCGACGCTTGACTATGTACGTAATCTTGTATCTCGCCTTGCAGCTGCGGTTTCCTGTGAGGTGATCTTTGCCACACAGTTGACACCACGGCTCACATCGATGATCAGACGGCGGGTTGTAGCTGGCACAGTCCTGGCATATCTTGTCCTTCAGGTTGGGGCACACATCAGAACGATGTCCCAGCCTGCCACACTCATAGCACGCGTCCATGTGCTTCCTGTACAAGGAGCATCTGACGAGCATAGGTTCGTAGTACACGTGTCTGGGTACGTGGAAGCCGTCACACAATATGATTATGTTGTCCGTGGTGCCCATGCTCTTAGCGTGCAGCACTCCAGGGTTGCGCTGCGTCACTGAGTTATTAACAATGTCCGCTGGGCTCTCATCCTCGGAAATATTCCTAATCAGGCCTTTTGAAGTGTTTTCTAGGGCGGCTTGATAAGCATTAGCAGAGAACCCTGTGCCACCGATGCAAAGCTTGCTGATGGCTCCATAGCGTTCGGCAAGTCTGCTGATGGTGTGCTGAGTACAACGACGTTTTGCATCACATTGAGGCAGATGCTATTTTCTCTAGCTGTTTCTCTGCCAATACCCGCTAGGTTACGTAGGCAGCAAGAAAGGTGATCCATTCCGTATTCAGCCCTGTTGAAGCCATCTCTAGGGCATACGATGATCTTAAAATCATCGGGTGGTAGTTCTGGCATTCGACTCGCGTTAGCGAGGTTCTGCAATTGACGGGCACACTTTTTTTTGTAATAGGCAGCCGTGGCCGCGGCTGGGACTATCGCCGTAGTCGACGCGGCAGCCGGTTCTTGCTGCGTCTTCGCCTGCTGCTTTTGCGCTGATTTGAACGTGCCATCGGCCTGTTTTGTTCTCCAGACGTTGCATCATCCTGCTTCCTCGCCGAAATCTTCCAGCCGAATCTCTTCTCCATCTATCACTACGACTTTCATTTAGCTCTTGGAAAGGCCTGGTGCTTTTTCGTCGGAGATCGGGAGCTCAGAGGAGGTCCGGCAACAGGTCAGGCTGTCAGGCTGGCGGGCGCTTCCACCACAGCAGCCGGGCTACGGCACTATATGTAGAGACGCTGGACTTGGCGTTCGTGCCAGCGTGGCGGAGGAAAAGGTTCCGATAAGCGGTCGAAATGTGGGCCCACCTGGCAAAGCTTTATGACAGAGAAGTCCTTGAAACTTCCGCTGATCGATGGAGAGAAAAGTTTCCACGATGAGTTTGACAAACCACCAAAAACATAGGAAAGTTACGGAGCTGACGCGAAGCACATCTGCACTTTGTGGCCCCCTAGCGGTGTTCTGCCTATTACCTCAAGAAAATAATTTTTCTCCTAGACAGATATGCCTTGCTTGTGTATGCTTGAAGCTCTCTTCACAATATGCTTTCTAGCATTATTCCTACTATGTGGTATTTATATCGTTTGTATGTAAAGCCAGAAATGAATTTGCTTTCTTTTAGGAATGCATATTTACCACAGTAATGTAACATTGCAAGCTTTTTTGTACTCTGTCCTATGGCAAAAACAGAAAAGAAAACTGCTGGTGATACCTGTGTCAGTAGCTCTACTTAGATTCTGGCGGCAGTGTTATCTTTTGTCTTGTTGGTGTAAAATACAAACACTATGCAGAAAGATATCTGGAGCATTGTAGAAAGGGAATGCATTCTCGTTTTCTTGGTTATAATAAATATAGGGTCACATTGCAAATGTTCATTCCTCTGGTCATCCAACTAATTAGCTGTGCTGACGAAAGTGTTTTGTGCATGCAGCTTTTGCTGTCCAAACGCAAGATGGCAAAGAGGGCACTCGAAAGAAAGCTGGGCAAGAAGGCTGGCAGCCAGCAATGGAGGCTGGGAAAGCTCAAGAAAAAATGAAGTGTAATAAAGTAAGCAAACTGCAGACTGTGTTATTGTTATTGTCAAATTCATCAGGGAGAGTGGACGGGGCAACCCACTTGTACTGTTAACTTTCTGATAGATGAACCATTTTATCATACCTGTAGCCTTTGCACACACCCGCTTGCATACAATGCGGTTGGAGCTGATGGAGAAATGACAATTCGTAGCATGCTAGCTTTCATATTTACTTATTTATTTATTTATCGATACTGCAGGACAATATGCTGGCCCATGCAGGAGGGTCAAATGCAATAATACAATGACAAAGTTTTCACAAAAGCTTACAATGGTAGAAGGAAAATAAACAATGCAAGCCGCTTGCCTCACACAACAATTTACACGGGTGATAAACTACCAAAAAAACTCTAAGACAATAGCAGGGCACTGCACACCGTATGAGATTCATCACAGAATTGCAATAAAAGTTTAAACACTGCTCATATTTATACTCAATTTTAAGAGAAATGGTGTCCTGATTATTTTGTAAAGTTCCTCGATTGTATGACATGAACACGTAGAGAGTTCCATTCTGTTGTGATGCACGGGAAAAACTGTTCATGTGAGATTTGGTTTTGGCAAATATTGGCGTAAGAGAAAAAAAGCAACTGAAGTGGCTGCAAGTCACCACTCGTGGCACTGGCGTCACGTTGGTGCAGTGAACCGTAGTGACACCTGTAGGTGCTGCATGTTTCCCCTTACTGTGTAAGAACAGCTAGTGATCTGCTTGGTTCCAACTTTGAAGTACATCAAGGCTTGATCACGTGCGCATTCTTGCTTTCCCGTCTGCCTTCGATCGTCACTGCAGTGTTCGAGTGTTTTTCTTACTGGTTTTTCTTTTGTCTTACCGTGGTAGTCTAGTGATTAAGGTACTTGGCTGCTAATTCGCAGATCGTGGGATCGAATCTCGGCTGCGATGGCTACATTGTGGATGGAGGCGAAAACGCTGTTGGTCCGTGTGCTCAAATTTGGGTGCACATTAAGGAACCCCGAGTGATCGAAATTTCTGGAGCCCTCCACTACGGCGTCTCCCATAATCATATGGTGATTTTGGAGCATTAAACCCCACATATCAATCAATCAATCAATGGCGTATGTTATGTTTACACCTTGGCCAGCCGTCATGGCGTGTAGGCGCGTTTTCATGATGTCATTCCATACCAAGCATGGAGCAGCTACCTGTTTTGGTTTCGACGCATTGTTTAAAGAGACCCAGAAATCGTATGCCTGAAACGGTTTTATTGGTTTTGTCAGCGTTTAGGCTAGAGCATGATTAAATCATTCGCACCACAAATTCAGCTGCACGCCTTCTACAAAAGTCGCTACAGACAACTATATCTATACCCTCCTCGTCACTCTTGCCTTGCCTCCTCAACTCATGAGACACGCTGGCATCCCTGGCGATCACTGCGCATTCCTGAGCGCACTTGACAATTCGAGCTTCGGCCAGTCAGGACCTCCAAGAGTGCAGGTCGAAAGGTTGCGCGCTATCTCTGAGACCATAGCCCAGTGCGGCCAGCAGCACACATTCCATCTGCCAACAAAGACCAAGATCGTGGAGCAGTTGATATGTGCTCCGACGGGAGCTGCCACTTCACCAGTGAATCTTACAGAGGTTTAATAGCTGCGCCATTTGCGCCGTTGTGCGCTAAATTTGCTTATCTGTGCCATCTTGCGCTGAATCACCTCTGCTTTGCCAAACTCCCCTATCAGTGCCGTAATCCACCTCAGCAACAGAATTTAACCGCAAAGTGCAAAAGGCATGAAGCGCCGTGCCCCGAAGCGCTGCTGAAACACTGTCTTTTTGGTTTCATCGAAACGAGTATGGTTTTGGTTTCGTAAAGGCTGTGATCGTTCGAGGAGCAGTTGTGAACTTTGATCTCTAGGGCAGTGGTCGTGGTCGCTATACGCGTGCGATCATGGCAGGCATCAGCGCAAAGGGCTCGTGAACCCTTCTACATGCTGTGCTCTCAACGCAAAGAGACTGAGAAGAGCAACGTTCCTCGACATGGCTGTATTCTCCTACATTAGCATTTTGTAGAGTTACGTGATATCTGATCTGAAAAAATTAGCTGCCAGCATTACGATTCATTGCAATTGCATTCATTGTTCGCCATTCCGGTGAAACAGTTTCATTATAACTTAGAGGTAGTGTTCGAAAAAAAAAATGATGGCAGTAACGGTGCTCAAAAGAAGGGGGGAGGGCGTCTGGTTTCCAGAAAAGTCTAGCGGCGACTGGTGCACATAATTGCTCATCGAACGCATGCGCATATTCTCATTCATTTGGCCACTGCACTTCGCGCTTATCGACTCGGCGGATGACGCTCGCACATTCGGGTAAAAAAATTGGCCCCATATCGGCATGTTTCACTGCAAATGTCGTCGAAAGACGATAGTCTTGTGTGTGGAAAGAGTGAAGGAAACGTTTATTTCATGTTCTGCATGAGAAAATCGGTGAATTGTATTCTGGAAGCGCTGCATTAGTCTTGATCTATGCAGCGAAGGCGAATGAGTGCATCGAGGCAGGTTTGACACGAGGACTACCTGGCAGTTATCTTCGAAAACGAAGGAAGGCGTGCGTGCCCACCGAGAAAGATGCGCGCCTGTCTTTGAGTCGATAAGGTGTAGAACACAAAGCAACGGGCTAGTGCCACCACTGTGTCGTCTTACCAAAGCACTTGCATTTTTGAGCAACGCGTTGCACTGCCAGCGCAGCGCGATAAACGCTATGGTTCTGAGAATTACTTATGTGTGCCTTCTCTAGTATAAAGACATACATACAAAATATTGATGAGTTGTTATGGTGTCTCAGATATGTGTAATAATTGCTTATTAATTGACAATCACATAAGTATGAATGCTAAATCTTGAGCAATATTGGTGGGTGCTACGGATGAGGTCGGCTGTCTGGAGTATCGTTTGGTGCCTTTTAAAATATCCTTACGTCGGAAAAACAGACAAATGTACAGACAGACCAAAATTTTGGCGTCGAAGATCCCCAAGAAAGAATCGACTTTAAAAATTGGGAGATCCCACGTATAGTGGGAATCGATGATATGTAAAGCACGAATGAGAAAGTTTGATATGTCACTAAATTCAGCACATTACGAGATGGACGTAAATTATGCCATAGATTGCTTCAGTGCCATGATTATCATGTTTAGACGTGTCATTTACCTTCGCTGTCTATTCACGTCAAGTGATACCAAATTTGGTATATGTGGAGCTAGCAAAATGGCTGTGAAAATGCTATGAGCGTAGCATGTACTCATATTTTACATGACAACTATGTCATGATTATCATGTTTGGACGTGTCATTTACCTTCGTCTATCACGTCACGGGATACCACATTTGGTATATGTGGAGCTATCAAAACGACCACGAGCATGCTATGAGCATAGCATGTAGTCATGTTTTACATTACACCCATGTGATAACTTTCATGTTTGGACGTGTCATTTACCTTCCTAGTCTATTCACGTCACATGATACCAAATTCTGTAACTGTGGAGCTAGAGAAGTGGCCACGAGCATGCTATGAGCTTAGCATGTAGCCATGTTTTACATGGCATGCATGTCATGATTACTATGCTTAGACGTGTAATTTACCTTCGTCGCCTATTCACGTCAGGTAATACCAAATTCGTTATATGTGAAACTAGTGAAATGGCTGTGAGTGCATCATGAGTGTGGTATCTTCTCATGTTCTTACATGACACGCATATCATGGTTATCAAGTTTCCGCCCGTCATATATTTTCGTCATCCGCTCACATCCTGTAATGCCAAATTTCGTATTCGTGAAGCTAGTGAAACCACTGTGAGCGCATCATGAGCGTGGCGTGTAGTCATGACTTACATGACATGCATGTCATGATTTTTATGTTAGAGACTGTCACTTGTGTTCGCCATGCAGTCATGTCATACTGTACTAGTTTTTGCAACATGTGATCAGAACGAAACCGCCACAAGAGCGGCAAAACCATGAAATGTAAATCATGACATTCATGACATACGTGTCATGATTTTCATGTTATGTCTGAACAGTTAAGCTCATCATACAGTCATACAGGGGGACACAATCTTCCTAGTGCTATTTACCGCATGCTTACAGGAGGTTTTAAGAAGCCTAGAATGGGAACAGTTAGGGATAAGAGTTAATGGAGAGTACCTTAGTAACTTGTGCTTTGCCGATGACATTGCATTACTGAGTAACTCAGGGGGTGCATTGCAACTCATGATTACGGAGTTCGACAAGGAGAGCAGAAAGGTGGGTCTTAAAGTGAATCTGCAGAAAACGAAAGTAATGTACAACAACCTCGGAAAGAAGCAGTGCTTCGAGATAGGTAATAGTGCACTTCAAGCTGTAAAAGACTATGTCTACTTAGGGCAGGTAATAACCGCGGAGCCGAACCACGAGATTGAAGTAACTAGAAGAATAAGAATGGGGTGGAGATTATTTGGCAAGCACTCTAAAATTATTAAAGGTAGATTGCCACTATCCCTCAAGAGGAAGGTATATAACAGCTGTATCTTGCCGGTACTTTGCTATGGAGCAGAAACCTGGAGACTTACAAAAAGGGTTCAGCTTAAATTGAGGACGACGCAGCGAGCAATGGAAAGAAAAATGGTAGGTGTAAACTTAAGAGACAAGAAGAGAGCAGAGTGGATTAGGGAACAAACGGGGGTTAAGGGTATCATAGCTGAAATCAAGAAGAAGAAATGGACATGGGCCGGGCATGTAGCGCGTAGACAGGATAACTGCTGGTCGTTAAGGGTAACTAACTGGATTCCCAGAGAAGGCAAGCGGGTTAGGGGGAGACAGAAGGTTAGGTGGGCAGACGAGATTAAGAAGTTTGCGGGTATAAATTGGCAGCAAGCACAGGACCGGGTTAACTGGCGGAACATGGGAGAGGCCTTTGTCCTGCAGTGGACGTAGTTAGGCTGATGATGATGATGATGACAGTCATGTTATGCCGTACCAATTTTGGTATCGATACCATTATCGAAACTGCCAGGAGAGCGAAAAGTCGTAGGAGGCTAGATAGACACGCTCAAAGTGTCCAAGTTCGCTTAGAAATGTTTCACATTCAAAAATACATGGGCGGCTGTACGTAACTAAAAAAATGGCACAGCTTTGCCGCAAGACGACGCAATGAATGTGATAGCAACAAATTGGAAGGTCACGGGCAGAATGGCAAGTAGATTGAAACGTGCCCTGCGTTTCTCACGCACAAATGACACACGAAACGTCCTCACAGGTTCAGATGCACACGAATAAGCTTCTCAGTTGTTACTTTGCTGTGTCTGAAAAGCGCACCCTTTTCGCAAATGGAGGCTTTGCAACGATTGCAGTGACCTTTGTGCGCCCTGTAACTGCTACACAATCGTTCCACTGCAAGCCGATCGCCAGCCAAGACATATGATCCTCCCCACTGGGAGATGAGGGCGCGCAAGAGATCGTCCACTCACCTCCTTTCCTTGGGTCAAAGTACGCGTGAGAGATTAAAGCTGCTGATGCGCATTGCGCCATCTTGCTGATAATGCTGAAAACACGATAGCTTCCCCCTATCCCGAGATGCCCGACAACAGCGGTAAGTATAAGTAGTAGATATAGATAGCTTGCCGTTTGCATGTTCAAAGAAGTACCCCTCGGTAGCTAAGTGGTGAACGCTTCGCATTCACGACGCAGAGGTCCCACGCTCAATTGCTCACGCCGAAGTCTTTTTTTAGGGGCAAAGCTCCTTATAGCGGCACCCGTTCGTCCACTCACCTCCTTTCCGCTGGTCAAAGTACGCGTGAGAGATGAAAGCCGCTGATGCGCATTGCGCCATCTTGCTGATAATGCTGAAAACACGATAGCTTCCCCCCATCCCGAGATGCCCGACAACAGCGGTAAGTATAAGTAGTAGATATAGATAGCTTGCCGTTTGCATGTTCAAAGAAGTACCCCTCGGTAGCTAAGTGGTGAACGCTTCGCATTCACGACGCAGAGGTCCCACGCTCAATTGCTCACGCCGAAGTCTTTTTTTAGGGACAAAGCTCCTTATAGCGGCACCCGTTCGTCCCTCGTAGTCGTAGTAGTGGTGTGTAACTAGTCTTACATTTTGACCTCCAAGGTGGTGCCGGTGGGAGCTTTCTTCTGTGCGTTGTTGAACAATAAAAAATTCGCAGCGTGCGCGTTAACTAAAAGCCAAATTCTCCTGTTTCTCTTTCCTCCTTAGCCGCCATTGGCATGTACATTGAGCACTATCTGACAAGAAAGGGTTGCTACCTTATACTCGCTGGGCGTAACCTCCTTGGTTTTAGAAAGGTTTAGTGAGGGTTAGGCCGCAGTGCCATGAATACAGTGAACTAGTATATACCATGAACTCGAGGTGGTTAAAGGCGGGAAGTAGACACGAAACGCAAGCCGTAAGAAAGTGTGCGTGTGCCTCCTCTCGTTCAGTCCTGGGAATGTCCGCTGTATGGCGGTGCTTCTATATGAGGAATATACGATGAAAAGATGCTAGCTGGTGATACTTGGAGTGTTGAATAGGTAGACGAATGGACATACAGACAGATGCATGGACGGACGCACGGATGGCTGCACGGACGGATGGACGCGTGGACGGATGCAGAAAAGGATGCATGGACTAATGCAGGGATGAACGTGCGGACGCACGAACAGATGCACGAACAAACATACGCACGGGCGGCCACACAGACGGACGGATGCTTCGCCCCACTCTCCATCATTCACTCCGTGGATATGCTGCCATTTTTGAGATTTTTTCTTTCTTGTGTTTATATATATATATATAGTAGTAAAGTAAATGCTTCGTGAGCAGTCACAACGTGGTTTATTTCCACGTTTCAGCCAGAGTCTGGCCTTCATCAGGATTGAGGGTACAGTTTGTTGGTGCTCAACTTTATACAATTATAAATCAGAGGGAGAGAGATAGAGAAAGAATAAAAAAAAGAAAAGAGAAAAAGAAGAAAAAAGAAAATATAAGGTGGACTCCCCAGGTGACCCCTTTCACTCCACCTTCCCCTTTCCCCCTCTCTCCCTTTTCTCCTTTTCACCTTTAGGATGTCTGCGGTCTATGTATCCTTCCTTTCACTAACGCATTGTTTCCGACCAGACGGCGCCCCTTGGCTTTGGCGGTTCTGTGTGGGGAAAAAAGCTTTTTTAAGAAGTTTAAGCCTTTAACTACTCAGTGCCTCGTGCCTTGTCATTGAAAGAGGGGCGCTGTGTATTGCCGCAGAGGCTGGCAAGCGGATGCAATGTCAATTCTTGCCCGCTTCTGGATTACACGTGCAGTAGGGATAGGGTGGCTAAAATGGGGAGGTGTGATGAGCAAAGCGCTTTTAGCATGTTGGAGAGGGTCACTCGGCGCGCCGATGCCGCAAGGGGCACTGATGGCGGAGGCGCGGGTAGTGATCGGTGCACTTGCCTGTGGTTGCTACAGGTGCGCTGGGATTTTCCTCGCAAGCAGCCGCTACATTGCAAGTATGCTAGCAGTCAGTGTTTGCGCTAGGTCCCTCTGAAATGCCTGAGGATGTCAACAGCAAAAAAGAAGGCCCAGCATTGGCGCTTTGTGCCTGGGTGCAACACTGTATATTATAAATCGTCAGCAGAGAAGGTTTCCCTTTTTCGTGATCCCACGTGTAAGGAGCTGTTCAAAAAATGTATGCGCACTATTCCAAGAGCGGACAAGCTGCTTGACGAGAACTCTGCGGTGTGTGAGAAGCACTTCTACCCAAGGTATGTGCAAAAAATTGAATGCATATTGTTTGCATTCTTGAACAGAGGACCACTTTTGCCTACTGGCGTGCCTCGTGTCGCATGCTGCATTGCAACATAACCAATTTGCTGTCTTTTTTTTATAGGTTTATTGTGCAGGCGTTCAAACATAAGATAAATGAGGAACACGTATATGTGCCACGCACTGTACCGACCTTAACAAATGACGCCGTGCCGACGATTTTTCCTAATTTGCCCAAATACTTGACGAAAGCCCTGCCCAAGGAGAGAAAAAGACGGAAAAGCATGGGCGAAAGTGCTGTTCCAGATAAACGAATGAGCGTGAACCACGACACTGCAGAAGCAAATGATGTGATCATTTTAGAACGGAGCATCATGTTGACTGAACAGCTGCATTGATTAAGCGCTGTGCTTCACCGTCCTAGCGAGCTGTGGTCGATGCAGACGTTCGAGCAAACGAACGCATTATCCTACCAGAACGCTAAATTGGATAGGGATGCAGCTGCACAGTGCAGCATCTTCCTGAATGGGCTCCTATTAAAAAAAGTGACTGTCAGACACAGAGCCAAGCACAGGATCTGCTCTTGTACGCAGATACATTGACACCTTGCATAGGAATCGGGAAAATGGGAGAGTTCCAACCGTTGAATTTGTAAAGCATGACGAAGTTATTTCGAAACCATGTCTTCTCCCTTTCTTGCAATGAGTCTGCATCGTCCTCGCTGCAAGGTACTATTATTAAATATCCTTATTGCCCAAACCTTAAAGATACCTGCACCTGCTTTAGCTAGACTTATTAACCAATTATGGTACACTTTACAGATGGCTCATCCGGAGATTGCACAGCCTGCAGAAAATGCAGACACCTTCTGAAGGCTCGTCTTCTTCGCCTGAAAAAAAAAAGATTAAGCGACCACTTGCAAGAACAGCTGCGCAACGACTCAAATGGACAGTTCGTACATTGAAGAAAAAGAAAATGAAGTTACTTACCTTGCAGGATGCCCTGAATAAGGTGCGAGAAAAGACTTCACAAGTTAGCACACCTGTGTTTGAGGAAAAGGTACATTCTCCCATTTAGTTGTAGTACATTCATTACAAATAGCTTTTTCTTTCAGCTGAAACTTCTTCCAAAAAGGCAACAGTCTGCGGCGCAGGCTTCTTTTGACGCTGCTAAACGGAGGTCATTGCGGGGATATTGCTACAATAAAGAATTGCTGCTTCAGTGTATCATCCTCAGAATGAAAAGTGCATGACTGTATGAACATCTAGAGCACACAAAATTCTTGTACTGCCAAGTTGTGCTTGCCTCCAAAAATGTGTCAAGGTATGTGACTGTATATGGTGTGCAATAGAAATTGTTCCTAATGTTATTTTGTTCACAGGAATTCACTGCTGCTTATGGTTTTAATACTAAACTCCTCGCTGTCTGAAGGCCAAAGTTAAAGACCTGGACAAAAGAAAGAGGCATGGAGGCATAGTAGTGGACGAGATGAAGCCCTCTGCGCATCTGGACATGCAGTCGTCTACCTATATTGAAGACTTCGTAGACCTTGGCAAGTTCACCGATGCCGCTGAAAGACAGAAAAAAGCTGACCATGAGCCGGTCATAATGTTCCAGCCATTTGTGGGAAAATGGACCCAGACCATTGGCAATAATTTCTAGTACTGCCGAGGCACATTTGTCAAAACATATTGTAATGTTCTGTTTCTCTTCAGGTGTATTTTCGTCCAGCGGGAACGTGAAAGCCAGGCTACTGACAAAAATTTTAATAGAGGCAACAATTCTATGTGAGCAAGTTGGCCTCTACTTGGATTACATTTGCTGTGACGGTGCACCCTGGAGCAGATCCATGTGGAACATCCTTGAAATACGCGCCACCCTAAATGACATTCAGTGCACAGTTGTTCATCCATGCGACAAACACAGATTTTTGTACATTATTTTGGATTTCCCTCATCTTATGAAATGTGTGAGAAACACAATGATGAATCACGGCTTCAACACCCACAGCGGACGGGTAGGCTTGCTCTGATATTTTTGTGGAATTTGTATACGTGATACGTACTGCTCACCGCTAATGTTAATGCTTAACAGTTTCTGATGGAATGTGGAAATTTTACAGGCTCACTGGGAGCATGTGTCAACCATGTGGAAGCTTGACAACAGTGCCATCACCTTGAAAGTGACACCAAAGCTGGCTCGATCGCATATCTTCCCAAATGGATTTGAGAAAATGTGAGTGGACTTGACATTTCATGTTTCCAGTCCGCAAGTTACTCGATGTAGTGGATTTCTACAAAGATCACATCGAGGCTGGATACACGAATGTTGGGCCAACAAGACTCGTCATTGGTCTCATGGCGAAATTGATCAAGGTTATGACGTCCAGGTTCCCAGCAGAAGCTTTACGATAAGAGTGAAATATTTGCCCTGTCAATAATATGGCCAGGCATAAATTTTTCCACGCTTCATGCACTTTGTTTCAGACTTCATAGCCGAAAGGAAGCTGTGCTAGACCAGGCACTCAAGTTCCTTGATTTGTGGGATGCTCATGTAAAAGGGCTTGGCTTTCTAAGCAAAAGTACCGCGGTGGGATTGCGTGTGACCTTGCAAAGTATGAAGCACTTCCTGAAGTACCTGACTGAGGAAGTTCATTTCAAATACCTTATGACTGCTCGTCTAAGCCAAGACTGCTATGAGTGCTTTTTGGAATTGTGTGGCAGGCAGGCAGGCGGTGGCAATGATCACCCCACCTCTGCACAGTTTGTTGTCATCATGAGGGTTTATTAATATCAATTTTCACACGTAATGTTGTCTGTCGTATAAACATGTTACATATTTCACTACATTTGACTACTGTTGTGAGTAAGTTATGCATTGTTTATTTATAGATGTCTCAGCTTCTGTAGCCTGGTGAAGAGTCCCAAGGGCGGCAACGCGGCTGACGGAGTGGTGGAGTCTGTTTGGTCCGTAGAAGAAATGCTGCATAAAACGGAAGATGGCAAAGAAGACAACGAAAGACTTCCATCTGATGCACTAGAAGTGTCGATAGATCATGCATCGTACACTGCTGAGCGAAGTGACTCCCGCCTTGTATATTATGTCGCAGGCTACGTTGCGAGAAAGCGTACACTTAGCAATAATTGTGATTAGTGCAAGAATGCCTGTCTTGTCTCAAGAGAAAATGTGCCAGGAAATCTCCCAGCCCAGGCTGTGGGATCTCGGCGGACTTTTGTATCGATCGAATTCCCTCTATACCCTCATCCTATACCTTGAGGACAAAATCACTCGTTTCCTGAGCCCAGTACGTCTTCACACCAAGTCGGCCATAGAGATGCTGAAGGGGATTGGCGGGACAGAACAAATTGGCTGCCCAAAGCATTGTGCTCTTTTGACCAAAAGTGTGGTGCGATTTTATTGCCTCACTCTTGCCCGAATTTTTTTGAAAGGCATGGACCAAAAATAAGACGAAAAGAAAGGGCGGAGAGTTAAGACATGTGTACTCTAGTGGCAGAGCATGAATACCTTGGCATGCATGAAAATAAAGTTATGTTTTTCGTTAAAAAAGTGTCTCCTCTATTTCTGCTGCTGGGGACAATTCTCGGGTCACAGGCTTCGCGGCATACGTAAGTTTTAGCCCTCTTAATGCGTTACTCGTCTAAGTTAATAAGCAATTGTAGGCTGTTAAAACTTCTACGTTCGGAAACCGATAATTGAATGCCAAGCTGCGACTCGCACAAGATTATGCGTTCGCGGCGGAGCAGCAAAACGAGGCTCTTGTACCGACGTTTCTGCTCGTGGATGAAGGAACTTAACATGCTCTAAGTAAGTGAAGCCTTCCAGTAATCGCAACGTCTCGTAACACACCTGCAGTTTTGCCGTGAGTAACCGCAATATTACGAAATCCACAAAAGTTGGTGTCGGGCCTCGCGAGGATTGGAGAAGCTTGCAGGCGTGTTCTCAACTCATCGAATGCTTCCTGTTGTTCACTTTCCCACATAAAGGGCACCTCGTCTTTTGTTAGATTAGTAAGTGGTTCAGCAATGTTCGAAAAAATTTTCAGAAATCGCCGATAGTACGCGCATAAACCCAGGAAGCGACGTACTGACTTCTTGTCTTTGGGTGTCGGGAACTTCGCGATGGCAGCTGTTTTTTCGTGATCTGGCCGAACGCCGTTGGAGCTGACGACGTGTCCGAGGAATCGAAGCTCTTCAAAAGCGAAGTGGCATTTTTCTGGCTTGATGGTCAAGTCTGCTGAACGAATGGCTTCTATAAGACTGTGCGGAGTCGCTCTAGATGTTGGTCGAATGTAGCGGAAAATACGACGTCGTCCAAGTACATCAAGCAGGACTGCCATATCAGTCCCGCGAGGACAGCGTTCATCATTCTCTGAAGCGTCGCTGGCGCTGTGCACAGGCTGAATGGAAGCGCTTTAAATTCGTAGATGCAGTCTGGGGTTATGAATGCCGTCTTTTCACGGTCGCGCTCATCCACCTCAATTTGCCAATATCCGCTCTTGAGATTAAGGGAGGAGAAGTATTTCGCACTCCGTAGTCGATCGAGTGTATCATCGATGCGCGGCAGAGGGTATACACCCCGTTTCGTTACGCTGTTCAGTTTCCGATAGTCGACGCAAAATCGAAGGCTGTTATCTTTCTTTTTAACAAGCACTACGGGAGACGCCCATGGACTGCTGGAAGGCTGGATCACGTCATCTGAAAGCATCTCCTCCACTTGTTTCTTGATGACGTCTCTTTCCTTTTGCGATACTCGATATGGGTATAACGATAGTTATAGCGCGAGAACAAAACGACGACACAGAGACAAGAAGGCCACGAAAGACACAAGCTCGTGTCTTTCGTGTCCTTCTTGTCTCTGTGTCGTCGTTTTGTTCTCGCGCTATAACTATCGTCATGCCATACCAACTAGCCAAAGCTGCCACACTTCGATATGGGTGTTGGTAAATCGGTCTCGTGGCTTTTTGTGTTATAATCCTGTGTTTTGCAATAGCCGTGCGTCGCACCTTAGAGGACGTTGAAAAGCAGTCCGAAAATTCTCTTATATGGGCGAACAATCGTTTCTTTTGATATTCTGGGCGCCTATGGTTGACGTTAACTGATGCGTCGACGTTGCAGGTCTCTTGTGGAGTGGTTGGCGTTGTCGCTAAACTGCATAGTTCAGTCGCCATGCAGAACTCGTGGAAATAGGCGATAGCCAAACCTTGCTCGATGGGCTGACATTCATTCCCAAAATTCGTAAGGAGGACAACTGAGCGGCCATTCCTTAAGTGAACAACGCCCCTCGCCACGCAAATTCCTTTGTTTATAAAGAGCTCTATGTTTCCATCCGCTATCCCTTCGTGGTCACAAAATGCCTTATTTTCAACAAGAACCATTACACTACAGCGTAGTGGCACTGTGACGTCATCATCAACAACGCGCAGAGCAGTAAGACGTCGCTTTTCCTATTCCTCCACCGACACAGCTTGTTCGGTCGAAAACGTTACACTGGATCTGCGCAGATTAATCATGGCTCCATTGGCTTGCAGAAAATCCATTCCTAGTATAAGCTCCCTTGAACAGTCCGGAAGTACGATGAAGTCAGCAACGTAAGTAAAGCCTCTTATTTCGAGCCTTGAGGTGCATCTGCCAAGCGGTGTAATAGTTGTGGGCTCTTTAATAAATACGTTTTGTTATACCCCGAATCTCCACCAGAAATGTAACGATGTTGAAGGACTCGGGGTGTAATAAAACGTATTTATTAAAGAGCGAACCTGTGCCCACAAATCAAAGGGACTATGGTCGTAGCACGTTACAGCAGAACACCAAATATGTTTCTACTTCCTCTTCTTCAAGAGGAGTCCTAAGCGCGTGGCGCACATCAGCCGGGGCCAGGTGGGTTCTCGTGCTATCATCATCGTCTCTGCGCAGCACTAGACGGCCCGCATGTATGTCCCTGTGCGCGCGGTGGTGGGCGCGTTGTTTGAATGCAGGCACTATGTCACGGCAATATGCCTTCTCGAGAATTGTTTTCAGAGGCGGGACAATATAGAGATACTTAAGCCACGTAAGACAATACGGGGCTTAAGCTCCGTGTATTGTCGTACATTGGCTCAATCAAAAAGGTCTTTACCGAAAATAGGCGACCGCCATATAGCGTGAGAGCAGGCCCGTAGCCAGAATTTTTTTTCGGTGGGGGGAGGGGGAACTTGCTGAAAATTAGAGCGGAAGAGGCCCCTAGCCCCTTCCCTCTCCCCCCCCCCCCAACCTACGGGCCTGCGTCTACCTGCGTGAGAGATTTTTGCGCAGAGCAGCGCGCGCTCATTCGTATGCCGCCTGCGCAAGGGCACCGGATGGATGGGTGGATATGGCTGTATCCTTTAGATTGGGCGGTGGCTAGCGCCACCAAGCCGTAATACTTAATGAACCAAAAACTAGATTTATATTTTTCCCCTTAAATAGTGAGGTTGAGGATTCGTACTTTGCAGTGCAGAGTTTAATTTTCACTCGTGCCTTGACTTTAGCCACCAATCACATAACCTCTTTCTAGTTAAGTCTACCCGCTTAAAGTCTATTTTGCTCTCCCGGTCCCTAAATCCCAGTGCTTTGAAAAACTCTGCGCCATCATCCTGAACTATAGGGTGAAGCCCTTTACAGAACATTATTAAGTGTTCGGCAGTTTCTTCTTCCTCTCCACACGCACTGCATACCGTGTCTACCCCTTCGTATTTGGCCCGATATGTCTTGGTTTGCAATACTCCCGTCCTGACCTCAAACAGTAGAGAACTAACCCGAGTATTATCATAAATCATTTCCTTGGCAATTTCCTGCCTAAAAGTTTGATAGGTCTCTAGTGCGGACTTCTTAATCATGCCAATTCTCCACATATCGGTCTCAGCTTCCTTCACCTTCTTCTTAACAGATGATTCTTTTTGGTTTGGCCCCCTGTTGTTTTCCAAGTATTTACCAGTCAATTTTCTGGTTCGCTTCCACCATTTTGTATCGAAATTCTTCATGTACAAGTAGCTGAATACCTTCCTAGCCCAACGCTCCTCCCCAATTTTTCTCAATCGCTTCTCAAATTTTATCTTGCTGCTAGCTTCCCTGCCCTCAAATGATGTCCATCCCATATCACCTTGTACTCCTTGATTTGGTGTATTCCTGTGAGCTCCGTAAGGCAAGCCTACCTATTCCACGTTGCTTAATTTCTAATCTTGCTTGAACTTCTGATCTCATGCACAAGACCGCATTGCCGATCGTCAGACCAGGAACGATGACCCCTTTGCAAATTCCTCTCACAAAATTATACCTATTGTAGTTCCCCAGGGCCCTGTTTTTCATTACCGCTGCATTCCTGTTACCTTTAGTCGACACGTATATTTCGTGTTCCCTTAGGTACTCGGCCCCATTGCTTATCCTTACGCCCAGATATTTGTATTTATCTGTTATCTCTAGCGTGACCTTCTGTATTCTAAGCTCACTACCTTCATTGTCATTAAAAATCATGACTCCTGATTTTTACTTACTGAATCTGAAATCTAACCCATCTTCCTCATCACCGCAGATGTCCACCAATCTCTTCAAATCTTCTTTGTTGTCGGCCATTAGCACTATATCATTGCGTACATCAATGCTGGTGGTGCCTGTTCAATCAGTTTTCCTTGTTTGACGAAAGAGACGTTGAAGCCCAGTCCACTTCCCTCTAATTTGGCCTCTAATCTTTGTAGGTACATAATGAATAATAAGGGTGACAGGGGACACCCCTGCCTAAGCCCCCGTTTTACCTCTGCAGGCTTGGATACGTGTTTTTTCCATTTTATAATTACCTTGTTACCTTTATAGATATCCTTCAAAAGATTAGTGACCATCTTCCACGCCTAGTGTGTCCAGTATTCCCCACAATTCCTCTTGAACCATGCTATCGTACGATCCCTTGATATCCAAAAATGCTAGCCACAGGGGCCTGTGTTCCTTTTCTGCTATTTCTATGCACTGCGTCAGTGAGAACAGATTGTCTTCCAATCTCCTGTGTTTCCGAAACCCATTCTGCAGTTCACCCAGCACCCCCTCATCCTCTATCCATGCCTGCAGTCTTTCCTTTATAATCTGCATCGCCAGCCTGTAGACCACTGATGTCACTGTTATAGGACGGCA